GTAAACGGGTGATCGAGTACGTATCGACTTGAACACACATCTCTCGCGCACATGACTCTACAATGTTATATTGCTCTTGACACTACCACATGGTCAATGGCGAAACTCCCCACGGTCAAACTGCTAAGATCAGCACGACGCGCTTACGTAAAATAACTCTCCTCCCTACACGCCGGCAAAAGTCAGCTATATACGCTGCTGTAGCTGGTCCTAGTCATACATCACAACTGTGACTCGCCCGCGCAGAGGTTCACTGTCCGCCGCGGTGGTTTTTGAAAAAACCGCCGTAAGAACCCCCGTCGAAAACGGAATACGACGAGCGATTGTGACCATCCACATGTAAGAACCAATTACCACTACGCGAGGACGGCAGCAGCTACGACGATGAGCTTCACATGCCAGTCGCGACAAGCAGTGCGCTTCCCTGAGTAACAAGGACTGCGAGAGTAAAGTCTAGTGAGATAGATGGATGGATGAATAGATGGATGGATGGATGGATGGATGGATCGATGCGATAGTGGAGTGGATGGATGAATGAATAGATAGATGGAGATGGATGGATGGATGGATGGATGGATGGATGATGGATGGATGGATGGATGGAGTGGATGGATGGATGGATGGATGGATGGATGGATGGATGGATGGATGGATGGATGGATGGATGGATGGATGGATAGATGGATGGATGATGGATGGATATGGATGAAGATGGATGGAAATGGATGGATGGATGGATGGATTGGATGGATGACTGGATGGATGAGTGATGGATGGATGGATGGATGGATGGGATGGATGGATGGATGGGATGGAATGGATGGATGGATAGGATGATGGATGGATGGATGGATGGATGGATGAGATGGATGGGATGGATGGATGGATGGATGGATGGATGGATTGGATGGATGGATGGATGGATGGATGGATGGATGGATGGATGGATGGATGTGAATGGATGGATGGATGGATGGATGGATGGATGGAGGATGGATGGATGGATGAGGATGGATGGCTGGATGGAATGGAGGTGATGGATGGATGGATGGATGGATGGATGGATGGATGGATGGATGGATGGATGGATGGATGGATGGATGGATGGATGGATGGATGGATGGATGGATGGATGGATGATGGATGGATGGATGGATGGATGGATGGATGGATTGGATGGATGGATGGATGGAGGTGGATGGATGGAATGGATGGATGGATGGATGGATGGATGGATGGAATGAGATGGAATGGAATGGATGGATGGATGGATGGATGGATGGAGTGGATGGATGGATGGAGGATGGATGGATGGAATGGATGGAATGGATGGATGATGATGGATGGATGGATGGATGGATGGATGGATGGATGGATGGATGGAGGGATGGATAAATGGATGGATGGGTGGATTGATGGATGAATGGATGGATGGATGGATGGATGGAGGGAGGGATGGATAAATGGATGGATGGGTGGATTGATGGATAAAGGAGGATAGTGGATGGAGGATGCAATGGATGATGGACGCACAGACGGACAGACGGACGGACGGGACGGACGGACGGACGGACCGGACAGATGGATGGATAGTGGATGGATAGTGGATAGATGAATGGTTGAATAGATGGATAGATGGAAGGATGGAATTGGGTGATGGATGGATGGATGGATGGATAGTGGATGGATAGTGGAGATGGATGATGATGGATGGAATGGATGGATAGACGGACGGACGAACGGACGGACGGACGGACGGACGGACGGACGAATAGATAGTGCATGGATAGTGAGGATAGTGGATAGGATGGATGGATGGATGGATGGGTGGGTGGGTGGGTGATGGATGGATGGAATGGATGGATGGATGGAATGGATGGATGGATGGATGGATGATGTAGGATGGATGGATGGATGGATGGATGGATGGAATGGATGATGGATGATGGATGGATGGATGGATGGATGGATGGATGGATGATGGATGGATGGATGGATGGATGAATGGATGAATAGATGGATGGATGGATGGAGTAGATGAAAGGATGGGAATGGATGGATGGATGGTGGATGGATTGAATGGAGGTGGATGGATGGATGGATGGATGGATGGATGTGATGGATGGGGATAGGATGGATGGATGGAATGGATGGAATGGATGGATGGATGCGATGGGATGGAAGTGGATGGATGGATGGATGGATTGGATGGATGGATGGATGGAATGGATGGATGGATGGATGGAGCTGGATGGATGGATAGATAGGATGAGATGGATGAGATGGTGTAGATGCATGGATGGATAGATAATAATAGGTTTATTACATAACTTTAAAAAATACAGACGTAAATTGAGAAAAAAACGACATTCGGATCACTCACCGTAATATTACAAATTACAATAAAGATGTTTACAATCGCATTCACATGACCATCATTTGCATAATACTAAATGAAATCGGTATAATTAAAAAGAGGAACCACAAAACAGCATATATAGAAGTTCATGTAAATCTAAAAAAAAAAGATATATCTATTGAAATATAGTCTATCAAAATGTAAAATACTAGCGTAGTTGCTCATGAAAAATTTAAAATATTGTTAAGGGTTATACATTTCCAATGTGTGTCCAAGTGTTTGGAAAGACGTAGAACAAAATCGGTATATAGAGCAAATGAAGCTGAGGGTCTCTTGTCGATGTGTTGACACGAGGGGCGGAGGTTTGTTGGACGTCGAATTAGGAGTGGATATAGTTCGTGGTGAGGGTTAGTGTCGTGATTAAATATTAGGTGGTTAAGACGCGATTGTTTTTGGACCTATTGAGGTCGGCTAAAATGTGATCAAAGTTGTAGTCATCTTTAGCGGGGAGGACTTGGTGACAGAAGAGAGTAGTTGAAAAGTGTGGTGGCAGAGAGTTCTTCTGAGAGTTCTTTGATTATGGGCTAACAGAATAAGTAATGGTACAACGCGGGGCAAACCTGAGCGAAACCGATTGCGTTGCTTGTTCGTTATGGAGACTGAACGACACGGTTTGTTTTTTTGTTTAGTTAAACGCTGCCCAATGTTAGGCGTCCACTGCACGCCAACATGAGACCTGCGTCAGACTGCATCGGACGAAGACCCACCTACAACTCCAAGGTCAGTCACTCATCCACGGGGATCGTTGTCAGAAACACATCGTAGCTGTGCGATATGAATGATTAATATTCTCATTATCTCACCAGACCATACTTTACCGCGTAGCAGACCTAATGTTTCTCCGTCAACCGGCCCCTATATCGATCATCATTCAGCAGCGACCTCATATATATATATATATATATATATATGTGTTGCTGTGTGTGTATAATATATACTATATATATATATATATATATATATATATATATATATATATATATACCTATGTATGGGAAATATTCTGTAA